ATCGTGCCGGTCTTTCATGTTCAACAGATGGTTTGGCTTAGCAGGATGATGTTCTATTTTCCCCCCAAAAGGGGATGAATCTGTTGATAGTTTCCGGTGGCCGAATCAGCAAAGCCAAGAGAAGGTGGTCCTTTTACCGGATTTGCTCAACCAGGTTTTTCCGCTTCAGGTCGCTGGCATTCTTTTCAGATAGGCGAAAGACACCCAGACACTCCATGGGACCGGAAGGTTTATACCTCAATTGGACCCATTGAAGCCATTTCAACCTTACTTCCTTACCCAGACGCTCCATGTATGCCATAGATCATATATGCCTACATTGGGGTGGTGCCAGGGGGCCCCGGGGGTCAATGTAGGCATATATGGCAGTCCCATGGAGTGTCTGGGTTAGAGGCAGGTCAGTGGCCGAGGATCTCGGACCGTTGAGCCCGTTTCACCTTCGCTGCAGCGCTTTCCTCGGACGAAAGAGGACTCGCAGCTGCAACCCCTGCGTCTTCTTCGCCTCCGACTATGGCTGCAGCCGTGGGAATCAGTGCGGTTTCTGCCATCGCGGCCATACGCGGGACGATTTCATGCGTCCACCCAAGGAGAAGCGCCGGAGGACCGGGATCAACCGGTCGTCCACCCACCGCGGAACTCCGGAGACCGGTGGTGGCCCACCATTGAATGCTTCGATTTGGGTTTAGATGTTTTTAACCCATGGGATTTGAGAGAAAAGATGAAGGTCAATGCAGGTCGACGTCTAGGGTTGCGGGACCGCTTGGGAAATCTCTGAGCCATTTCGGCCAAGGGCTCCACCCCGAACTTCGGCACTTCCCTGAACGGTGGGAGAAGATCTGCGTCGCATTCGTCCAAGCAACGGGTGCTCCCGGGTCCAGCGGAGGGAGGGTCGGTGGCCGAGGATGCGGTACCGTCACGCCTGGTGAAGCAATGCGTCGGGGGCCGGCAGACGGAGAGGATAGCCGGGTCATCGACGCAATGGTTGGGGTTCGGTCGGGAGCTGTGAAGCGTTTGGGCGAAACGTGCAAGAGCCTTGGGCGACCTGAAGGGGACGACCGAGGGACAGGCGGCCTCGCGACTGGTTTTTGGGGTGGGAGCGACCGATGTGGAAGGATGAAGCAGAAGGTCTGGCAGATGGTGTCACAGAGAAACCTCGATGTGGAAGCGATCCAGCCAGAGCTTCAGAGACTTGGCATGACTGAAGTGATTGGTTGAGAAACCCGTGCCACCGCTGTCGGAAGAGGAAAAGGGGGTGTCGATTTTGAAGCTGAAGGGTGGGTGGGAGATGGGTTTGAAGGTTGGATCGTTCTGGTGTGAACCGATCCGTTTTGGTGATCCATTGTCCATGCTACACTCTACACATCTATGCACACACCCTGTCGTTTTACAATGGCTCCATACGTAAAAGAATCTGATCCACCTAGCACTTCCAATGGGTGCCCTGTCTGGAGACCTGTTTACGTAGGGTAGGGTAGTCTAGCCAGGACACCCATGTCCAGGATGACCCTGGCATGATGAGCCCTTTGGTCGGCAGCGTTGGGTTCCCGAACATCACACCCAGGTGACATGTAGGTCGTTCCTGGGACCCAAAGAGAGGGTCCGCATGGGGTGGCTCATACCCAGACGCGACGAATGGGACCATAGGACTGCCAATCGGGGTGGTGCCAGGGGGGTCAATTGATTGGCATATATGGCAGTCCCATGGAGTGTCTGGGATATACTTCAGAGTGCTGTACGAGTTGCTGTCTTGCGAAGGCAGACGGTGTGATTCAAGCATGAGTGTCTTTGACATTCTTTGACCCTGTTTGATACCCCCCCCTCCAAGAGTAGGAGGATGGCCCTCGGGCCGCAAGAAGACGATCTTCCTCTAGAAGCAGCAGTCGAGGGTACCACTTCCATAGGCAGTTCGGAAGCTACGGCTAGCATCAACATCGTGTGAGGAAGAGGTGTCCACTGACGACCCCCTAAAGGTGGATGGAAGCAAAAATAGATTTAAAAAACATGTCCCAGCACCCGGCTTCACAGGTCACCTGACACTTGACTAGTCTCCATTTCAGCTACCAGAGGAGACCGGAGTCGGGTGCCAAATCGGATCCGTGTTTCAACAAGTATGTGCCTGAAACAGGTCCCAGACACTCCATGGGACTGCCAAATATATTATATGCCGCCCCAGACAGACCCCTCTGGCACCACCTCTGGCCTGATCGGTCAATATACCAGTCCCATTAGTCGTGTCTGGGTGTGAGGTATAAACAGGTCGCTCTTTCTAGTGCCTGAAACCCGTCTGGACATCACATTTTGGATCCTTCGACCTTGACGGGACCGCTTCGCGTGACCGGACCTCGCCTGTGACTCCATGGACTTTCGCAGCAGCCTTCGGTAGTGTTTCGGACGGTGTTGGTGAAACATGGCGAGGCAAGTGGCACAGCTACATCCTTACATGAGACAGCTGATCCAAGGATTCTTAGACCACTTGGCACAGCAAAGGGGCTGTGCCCAGATCGAAGGAGTGGTTTTCTCTGTTTGAAAGAGGGGGGGAAGTCCTGGGCATCAAAGTCCCGGTAAAAGCAGAAGACCATGATCAATGCAGCGGAAAGCCTGTTCTTGAATATTGAAAAGATATGCATACAGACCCCCAGTCATAGATAGAAGTTCGTACCTCCCCACTAAAAAGTGTCTTGGAAACGTACTATATCGGGACCACTCCACACTTTCCCCGTTCGTGTCGTTGCTCTGTGTTCGCGACACCCGACGGCGGCCCACACCGGTCGAAAACCACCACCCACCCCGCTGCCGGGTCGAAGCTCTCCGGTGAAACGGGGAGTGTTTCGGGAAAAACAGCGGAAGCACGGAACCCACGTGCTCCGCGCGGGTTCCCACGCGCCACTTAGACGTGTGGGGCGTGGGTCCGGCGTGGGTCCACCGGAGTGCTCAGAGCTCTCCGGATGAGCCGAGACTTCCGATGGCCGGCACCCCGGCCTCCGCTTCCGAAGCTGTGATTCCGAGGGATGAGTCAGGAGTGAAAAGGAACAAAAAGGACAACACAAAACCGACCGTTCATCCAGAACGAGCAACAGAATTGGAACCACCATTGAAAACCAGGTTTTTTGGTGGTCGCTGTGATGCCCCAGAACGGCGTGGTGGAGGTCTCACCACGCCGGATGTTGGTGCCATACACTGGTGTTCACCGGAGGTGTGTGGGTTCCGGGTATGTGACCTATGACACATTGATACTCATTGATTGATGTATGTCAACTAACAAGCACGTCTTACTTCACAGGTCCAACAGCCACCACCGGAGACCTGTTTTCATGTCGGGTGCTGGTATGAGGGAATCCTTTGATGGCTTCAGAGCCCCCACCCCACAAACGGGAGTCGCCAGTTGGTCTACATGGGCACAGATCGCTTTCAAGGAGCGAGGTATCGTAGGTTGGTATAGTGGTTGCAGAAGAATCTCTCCATCTACGGTGTAGGGATCCTCAGAAGGTACGACTGGACCCTCCAAACTTACATAACAGTCTCTCCAATCACCTGAGGAGGTACTTGGAACCCTAAGGGAAGTGGTCCACTCTCATCTTCAAGAGTTTGTGCTCCAGAGTCTGTCACAGAATGTGCGTGGCCTCATCTTGCCACAGCCTTTTCACCGCAGGAAGATCGATTCTTTCTCGTCCCGGATCCCCTCTGTACAGATTGGATGAAGATGGGTGCGACCGACCGTGGACTCTTCTCGCAACTGGAGCGACAACGGAGAGGGGACAACGACCTCTCCTACCCTGACCTCTGCTGGTTTTCCTACGCATCCTACTCAATGCAGTGGGCTGAAGCCGGTTTTTGGTGGGGAATTTGCGGAAGAGACTTTGAGTGAGTCCGACGGGCAGAGGGGGCGGGCAGGGGACGCGTCACAGCGGGGGCAAACCGATGATCTCTCACATCTCTCGCATCTGCTCTCTTCGTTCTGAAAAGTGCGTACATCTCAAGGACTGAGGTTGGAGGCCATCGCTAGTAGCTTGAAAACCCAGTACAATATATTACAATTAGCTTGGCCTCTCTTCCAGGAGTCTCCCGTCCGAGTGGATGTGACCGGGGCACCCCGACTTCCATGGAGTCCGCATCACGCCATAGAACTGTTGCTCTCTCTTCTCACATCTTCACAGGGCGCACGCAGCAGGGAAGCCGTACGCCGCGCCGCCCGCATCGAAAGGGTCCTCTACCACGACCGCCACACGGTTTCGCCGTGTAGAGGACCGGTGGATTCGCCGGTCGATGAACGGTCAATGGACGTGTTGGGGTGTGAAAGGGTGGTGGAACATGCTTTGTGCGTGTCCCCCAAGTAGTTTGACACTGTTGTCGCAAAAGGAGAGCTGAGATGGCGGAAAACGGTCAATGTCAAAGTGGCGGCTCGACACCCGGTGAGTGCCTGCCATGTTTGATGGATTGGCGAAGAATTTGAGGATGTGTTCACATTAATTAACATGTAAAACATATGATTTGATTAGGGAGGATTTTTGCTTGATGATGGTGGTGATTTCCTGAGGGTATAATGGCTGAGGATAATTGATCATCAGCCAATTGTGGAAGGGAGAGAGAGAGAGAGAGAGAAAGTTGGGGGGTTGGAACAGCAGCCACTGCGCTGGAGCAGCTGCATTGGCGCTGCAGCTCTCAGGGCCTGGGCTCCCAGTCCAGTGAGATCATCAGGTGGATCAAGCAATCTGGGTCCAGTTGGAACTGTGGTACATGTTTTACTATGAACATGTTCGATCTTGGACATATGGCCCTCTCTAACAATCCAAATCAGTAGTTGTGCCTTTATCCTGCTCTGCTTGCAATCCTGCAGTCCAGCTACATAATGTGCAAGGCAGGCGCATGCATCAACAAGGTTTCAACACATCATCATAAAAGGATATAAAAGGATATCAATGTCTAGGGGGACAACATTGTCATTCATTTTTGGTTCCTTTGTCATTTTGGCCACTTCATATTGCCACGGGTAGTTGCCAGCTATGGAGCTTCCACCCGATGATTGTGGACCACAGATCTTTAGCAACCTTGACCTGGTTTCCTTGACTCACAAAGCTGTCCCTGATTTGAAGACACCAACCCGGAAGCGAATGGAATCTGTCAGTGAGGGGTGCCTTGGACCTATGTTGAGTAACTGTCTCATGAAGCTACTTTTAACATAGGAACCCGGCCTTCCTGTCTCTTTGCCCCCAACTGGTTTTTCCAGGCTTTCTGCAGAGAAAGCACTGAAGTGCTGTGCAAAGATGTGTGTCCACCATTTCCGGGCAAGCTCACAGAGAGTCAAAAGCATGGAGGCAAGGGGTTCAACACTTCATGGATCCACAGGTGTTGATGGAGTGGTTGGCCTAACAATGGCAAGACCTTGTCATGGGTGTCCTTTAGTAATTTAGGAGTGGAGGTGGCAACTGCACAACAAACAGAAAAAGGGCACTGGGTTCCCTGAAGGAGATCCGCTCCAAGATGGCTGACCTGAACCAGGAAGAGACCAATGCATTTATCTTGGGTATTCTTGGCAAGCTATCTAAAAAGGAGAACGTGGGAGAGACTTGATTGGCTAATAATACCATGTGCAGGTTTTGGCAACATTTAGTGTGCTCTTTGGTGTGGCTATGTTTGAAGGGTTGAAGGGTTGAGTATTGGAAGCCAACCATGACTTACCATGATCTAAGGACTCACTGTCGTTGGAGTGGGCGCTGTGTGGAGCCACTCTATGCCGCAATGGTTTCTGCATTTTGCTTGGCATCAATGAGAAAAGGGTTGCTTGGCCTGCTGCAAGCAGATCCTGATGTTTCACTCTCCCCTGAAGGTTTCTGTTTGGTAATCATTTAAAGACCAAGCCACTCGCAGTGACCAGCGTTTGCAGCAAGGTGATGCGGCTTCTTGATGGTCTTGCTTTGAACCTGGTTCCACCAGACAAGAGGAAGCACAATGGCCGCGCCCCTTCCAAGGGCAACAATGTGGATTCTTTCTTCACATACTACTACTGGAACTTTGCACCTTTGTGGAATACAAAGTTGCATTGTCCCTTTTTCTTTACCTTGGCCCACTGCCCCTAACACTTGCAGCAAAAAAATCTTTGGGTAAAAGGGGAGTGCGCTGGTGTTTTTGCCATGTACCAATGAGGCTGAGACATTGGCAGAGGCACCGCCGGAGGAAGAACTGCAAGGTGCTGCTATGTGCACCTCTGGCCTCTTTCTGCCTAGCTACTTTGCTTGCTGTTTAAGGCAGAGTTTCTTTTTGTGGGTCTCAGGGTTGGGAGAAAGAGGAGTCATATATATATATATGTATATATAAAAGCAATCTTAAGTTTGCAATCTAGGTGAGGCTTCATCAGAGCTGCCAGCATCTTTCATGGAGGGCTCAGCTCACTACTCAGAAGCTGCTTTGGCAGAGGTGAATGCTCCAGCAAAAATGGTGAGACTCACACCATCGGATGGATCTACAAGTGCCTTGAACCAGTTTCTCTCAATTTTTCTGCTTTGAAAGAACTAGATAGTTTCAACTTGTTTTCTTTTCAAGTGGAAACACCACATCGGCAAAGGCTTGGCACCGCGGTACATCAACCACATGACCATGGAAGCATTCTACCAGATCTACTTGATGTGGGCCAACGGGGCAGCCCTTGATGAGTCTGAGATTGCTGGATGTTGGTGCTTCCGCAAGACCTATGACACTCAATGGAAGTCCACTTTGCGGATGCGAACTGTATCACAGCATGCCAGGTACAGGGTGTGAACACAAGTGTTTGACAAATCTTGATAACAAAGGAGGCTAGTTCCCAGTGGATACTGCATGTGGACTGTAAGCATAGCAAATTTGTGTTTCTCCTGCCCTTCAGGTGCAGTACTTGTGCAGAGTTCAGCGCCAGGTGCAACAAAGCAGCCTGTGAGTCTGACCGCTTGAAGTTGGAGGCTGTGCAGAAGGGCCACCTTCTCAACGTGCACCAGTACCGCCTCATTCAGGGGCGGTTGAACACCCTCAGCGAGACAGAGGGCTCCAACATTTTGAAGATTGACCTGGATGGCCTTGACCAGAATAAAACAAAGTTTCCCAGGAATCTAGCAAGCTCCAAGACTCTATCTAGCTGCTGGCGTCCTCAGTTACACCTGGTAGGTGTTATCGTGTGGGGTGTTACTTTGATTTGTGCAGGTACTCTTTTGGACCAGGTCAGGTGCTATGTTTCTTTTACTTTATGTAGCTGATTGTATATACAGTTACAATATATATATATATAAAGACTCTGTTTTTTAATATCCATAATGCTGCTGGAAACTCTTTCCTTGAATGATTTTTCCAGCTGAGGTTGTTGAGGGATATGTCATTTTGCCACCGGATGTGGAAAAGGACTCCAGTTGCGAGGCCACGTTGGTGATGAAGGCTGTGGACTGGGCCCATGAAGAGCTATCTCGCCATGGCCGTTCTTTGCCAGAACATCTGGTCATAGAGGAGTGGCGTTGATCCCTTAAAATTAAACTTGTAGGTGCAAACACACATGCCCAACCTTAATGAACCATGTCTTTTGAAATAATGATGACTAGTCCAATGTTGTTTTTGGCTTTACCCTGCAGACGGACAACTGTGTCAGAGAAGGCAAAAACCAGATCATGGCCAAGCTGAGTGCCAGTGCAATCATCACAAACCGGTCCCTCATCTGAAACCAAAAAATGTTTCCCTATGGCTGGTGTGTTTTAGTGGGGTTCCTTTTTGGTGATTTATCTGAAGGAACTTGGCCACAAGGTTCAGGTCAGTCACGCACATCTTTGGCCAAGTGGGGCACACACACGGCCCCATTGACCAGCGGTTGGGCCAAGCAGCTGCCACATTCAGCAAGCAAGCTTGCATTGAATCACCTGAGGACAGTGGAGCCTTTACCCTGGGTGTGTTTCCAAATACTCTTGGTCTTCCCATGGGATGTTTAATTCTGTTGTTCCACCCCTAGGATGTTAGTCAGTCTTGCTTTCACTGTGTCAGGATTTTGTGGATCTGCTCAAGAACCAGTTCTCACCAATCCGGAACAGAACCCTCAAGGTAGAACTACTCCCAGGAAGTCTGGATATGAAGAAATACCTGTCTCAGTACACTGTTGAGATTGGAGGCCTGGTGACCTCCCACCATGATCCAGCTGATGCAAACCATTGCTGGCGCTTCATCCGCCGCAGTGCACCTTGATCCCATTTCTCCAAGGTTTTTTGTTTGTGAATGGGTGCTTCCAATTGTTTCAAATGTGATAGCATTTGGCTGCCAATGCAAGGACCTGCCTGTCTATGATGACCAAACTGGTGAGTCGTGGGCTCCTCAAGAGATCCCAAAAGAAGCTTAGTTTAGGAAGTGTTTTTGCTTTGTGGTAAATTTTTGGGTTGGGGTCTCTCCAATTCCATAGCTGTGCAGAGAAGCTCAAGCAAGTTTGTTTTTCTATCTCAGCTTAAGGAGAGCTACCCGCACCTTCCAAACGACTGCATCCTTTTGGTCAAACACTTGGTGAACTCAGAGAGCCTGAGTCAGAGCCCAATGACTTTGCTCCCAGCATCCTTCCAAGACAAGGTGAAGGTTGGAGTGCAAGCTCTTCCCAGGAACTTGATTGCGGACAGGGCCAGAAAGGAGCAACTTGGTTTGTAAGGGCAAACCCTTATATTGTGTGTGGCTACTACCCTTCCACCCTTTTCTGCCCTCCCATGTATGAGCAAAAAACGTGCCTCAAAGATATATCACCTGCCCATGTTTGGCCTCAGGTTCCGTCGGACTGCGGATGTGGTGGAGAGGGACCCGTGGCTACTACATAAAGCTGCAAAAGCTTTGCGAGAGTGGGTGGACACTTTGCAATATAGAAGGTTTTTTTGTGGTTTGCCTGGAATGGTAGGTTCAAACTAGGTGGTGCAAAACCCTTCATGCGCCACTACTTGATTGGGTGAGGACAACAATGAGAAGCAGGAGTGGCCAGAGATTCCAGAGCCCAAGTGGTGGTTCAGTACTGATGTGCGTGAGCTGGGTGTGGAACCAACTCCCAATGGGCATCTTGACCAGTGTTGGCACACTTTGGAAAACATGTTGCTCACCCTGTATTAGACCCAGTCATGACTAGAAGCATGAACATGCTGTCTTACTCCACACATCTTGATCAGCAAGGTGGGAGAAATTTGCACCTGGGCCAGTGCGGCAGGTTACCATCACCCCGGGGGCTGCCATTGGTGGAGAGCCAAAGAGACGTGGGAGACCTCCTAAAAGGAAGGATGCTGAGGTAGAGAAAGTGGTACCGCTGGGGGAGGGTGAGCAGGTCTTTGGGCCCAGGTCCAAAAAACGGAGCACTGTGGTTCCTCCCACAGAGGAGATCGTGCCTAAAGATCTCTTTGGTGCTGCTGCTGACCTACCTGCTGACCCACCTGCTCCAGAGATGCCTTGGCCTACCCGGGCAACCTTTGCAGGCAGGAAGAAGCCAACTAATGAGGAGGCTGGTGCAATCTTTGAAGCTCGGAGGTCAAAGTTCTATGAAATGGTGCCTTCTCAGTATTGGCGGGATGGGCTTGAGCGGGACTACTGGAACAAGTGTGTCCAGGGTGGCTGTGTGGATTTGGCAGTGGAGGAGTTCTTGAAAGACCATGGTGCAGCAGCTTCAAACCAAGGTGCTGGTCGTGGGCGTGGGCGTGGCCGTGGCAAGCAGGCCAAGGCGAAAGCCATGCCCAAGGAGCCTGGCAGGAACCGAGGCCGTGGCCGCAGCAAGGCTCTGGGCAAGCGCTAGGTGCTGTGAAATGTGGCTGGTAGCAAGTTTGGGGTAGGCCCAGAATCAATCAAGCTGATTGATGGCCACTTTTTGTGGGATACGTTTGGGTGTGGGAAAGCCTGCATCCCTTCAATGTCATCATGACATCGGGTGACATGAGCTAGATTGTCTACAGCAAGTGAGCCGATGGGAGAAGCAAAGATGCTGAAGTTATCACCCTTCAAGTTGACACTTCAAAACAAATTCAATGTTATGCTTTTTTGGAGATTGCACCGGCCTTCTTCATGTGAGCTCAGGGTACTGCTGGTTGTATCAAAAAGCATAGCCAAACAAGACTAGGACCATGCACTCTGTTTCCATGACTGTTAGTCAGACTGCTAATGTAATTGTCTAACATCACAACCACCTGACCACCCTGCTGCTATGGTGGATTTGCATCACAGTGATGATGATGCTTGGGTTGATCTGGGCCCTGAGATCTCCCCTGCCCCTCAAAAGCCAGTTGTTGGTAACAAAAGAAAAGCTCAGCGGACATGTCCTCAGATGTCCAAGAACCAGCCCAAGCCCAAAACCCAAAAGCGCAAGCTGCCTTCTGCAAGTGCAGAGCTAGAGCTGCCATCTGATGATGATGGTCTAGTCCTTGACCTGCCAGGGCGGGCTCCAGTGGTTAAGGACACTGAACATCAGGTATGTGATTGCGAGGACTCTTCATTGAAGGCTGCTGCATCCCGTGTTGCATCAGTGGTTGACAACAAGTACATAGACCTCTTAGACATCCTGAAAGGCCAAGTTCCTTGTGCTGTGGAGATGCGATGCCACCTTTGGGAGATCTTTTCTGTACCAAGGTGCACCCCCAGAGTTCGTGAATTGGGTGGCCGTGCACGCCGGAGCTATGATATCAAGCATTATTGGGACCTATCAGCAGAAAGTTTCCAGCGCACAACCATGCAGGATGTGTTGCTCCTTAAACCTTTGTGCTTGTTCATGAGTCCACCATGCACAATGGTGTGCAGCATGCAGCACAGTAACTGGCGCCGGATCAAGCACAAGGACAAGTTCATGTGCTTGAAAGAAGCGCTGGACTTCATTGACTTCTGCGCTTGGCTGGCCTTGCTCCAGCTGACCATGGGCTTGTTCTTTGCTTTGGAGCACCCGGAGAAATCCTTAGCGTGGGATCGGGCTTCGGTCCCTCTGATGCAACAGGGGTGTCCATTCTTCTTTCTAAGCTATAGTGACTATAGTGGGTCATACATAGCTACAGTTGGCATATGACCATGGTGCTTTGCGAATGGTGTATCCGGTAGTATGCCAACTTAAGTTGCAAATGTAACAAAAACATGAGAATGGGCAGTGGGCAAGCTAAGAAAGAAAGAACCTTGTTCTTTGTCCTCTTTCTCTCTCTGTTTTACTCCTCTCTGCAAACTGTAGAGTTGAATGTATATACAACAAATATATAATATGTATGCATATACAGCAAATAGATCCTCTGTTTGTCTTCTCACCGCAGCAAAAAGAATCTGACAAACAGGTTTATCCTCAGCAAATACCAAAACCATCTTCTCTGTATGTGCAATCTTTGTGCGCATCTTTCTTATATACATGAATTCTGCACTTGCAACCAGGAAGTTGCAAGTGTGTGTTCATTGTTTTCATGATGTTCTTGTTTGCCTTGGATGGTCCTTCAATAGGTTCTTATGCAATCCTTGATTCCCTATACTCCCACAAAATAGGCCTCATGCTGATTCATGCCCCATGAGGGCCTCCACCGTGTTCATCTGGCACCTAAATTTGGGCACCAGATGAACACCAATTTGGGGCACCATAATCCAGAGCCAAAGGTTGGTCTGGGGCTGTGAGCAGAACAACAAACACACACCATGCAATGTCCGCTATGGAATGGCACTTCTTGTGCAAGTTGCAACCCGATAGCAATGAAGTTGTGATTTGATCTCCCCTTACAACATCACCATTCCAAATCTTGTGGAACAACAGTGGGGCAACAAAACTTGCACTCCCAAATCCACCCAAAACTTGACATGCAAAATCCCTTTGACAAATCCCCTGCGCTGGAAATCCTATGTGCAATCCATGTCAGGGCAACTGCGGGAGGTGTTTGTTTGGTGGGCACACCCTTTTTTGGGACTTGGAGGTATGGAGAGTAGGAGTGAGTGAAGCCTAGAACCTGCAACCAGGTGCAGAACCTTACCAAGAAGGATGGTGTGAAGAAGGTCACCTTTGACCAGTGCATGTTTGATCTCCGGACTCCCTCAGGGAAGTTCCTGCGGAAGAGAACATGTCTACTTACAAACAGCAATGCCATTGTCATGGCCTTTGACAAAAAGTTCTATGGTGGCCATCACGAGCACCAACGGGTGGAAGGCTCAGAATGTGGCCAGAAGAGGTCTCTACTTGCACAGGTGTACCCAGGGCCAATGGTGGATGCCATAGCTCATGCTGTGCTGCTAGAAGGCAGCAGAGTCCCTGGTTTCTGACCAGTTTTGGAACACTTGGAGAGCTGTTGCGGGGAGTCCAAAAGAGCAGGAAATGTATTGTAACTATAATGGCAAAGAGTGTGGAGGTAGCTATCTTGTAGAAGGGATGTTTTGTTTTTGGTTTGATTTGGGGGTCGGAGATCGGCGGATTTCAGATGAAACCATCTGAAGTTCTACACCGGAATCAAACACAATGGATATCATCAGACTCACTCAGTTTCTGTTCAAGTTTTTTGGGTAACATCCTAACTCTAACTTCCCCAGAGGCCTCAAGATCGGATGGTTTCATTTGAAATCGACCTAAATCGTTGGATTCTCAGATGAGATCCTCAGGGCCAAGCAAATCTGCGCATCTCAGCATGCAAAATCTCATGGGTAGACTTAGGATGGTTTCATTTGAAAGCTGCCCAATCCCTGGGGGGTTTGGGGTGGCCAGCGCATCTCATGGGTCAGAAATCAGACCCCTGAGTTCAGCTAGGGGGTGGTTGCCACATAAAGGATTGGGAGGGTTTCATTTGAAACCAGCTGAAGTCAACCCCTCAAATTCTGCACCCTGACTTCAGCAGATTTTGGGTCCAGTGTTCAGCGTTGCATATGGATGGGATGAGCACCATGGCAGAGGATGACCCTGGCCTGTTTGACCAATTGGAGACTTGGGCTCAACATGGCACTTGGTTCAAACAGTGTACCAGTGATCTAGCATGTAAAGGTGTTGGTGGGCAGTTCCACTGGTTACCCTGGCGCCCCTTCAGGACAAGGAGCGCAATCTGGATGCTGTGATGTCTGGTTCACCTAAAGGAGATGAATCCACAACAGCAGCTGGAAGTGACATGCTGTCCGATTCAACCTTGCCTTTGGACTCGGTGTTTGAGACCCTGTATGACTCAGTGTGCAAAGAAATTGAAAGCACCTCTGTCCCCAAAGTTGCAGACCTTTCTTTGTCCCTATGTGGGTGTGTTAGGATTTGTTCAACCAACCCAACATGTGAAACCTTCCCACTTTTGAGGTGCTGGAGGACCACGCCAGTACTTGCATGCTGAATTCCCTGTCCGCAGTGAGAGGGCAAAGGGCATTGCCAAGGTAATGGAGGTGGCACTGGGGATGTGTGAAGACGTTGACTATGCTACAGACTACCCTTTGCCAGTATGCTTCTCTGGCTACTTGGTCCTGTGCATGCACATGGGGCTGTGTATAACTGTTTGGGTATAGGCACAAGAAATTTAAAAGTACTTTGTTGGGTGGTGTTTCCAATCCCAGGAGCAGAAGATGAACAAGCACCGTTCTTTCTTCCATTGGGGGCTTTCTCAGCTGAAGCAGAGAGCTCACTCAGGGAGCCACCATCCCTTGATGTTGCAATCAAACTCATCAACAACTTCCACAAGCATGGATTTCAAACTACAGGTGTCCCTATTCTGATTCGGCTGGAGGTGGGGCCATGGGATGTGTTCTAGTTTTGTGTTGTGTATTCAGCTCCATGTCCCCACCACCTTCAAACCTGACTGCACCAGCCCTGCAGACAGCGAGCCTTCCAGACAGTGGTGAGATTGAGCCCGGCTCCATTTACTTCCTGAAGGGTGCTGCCAGGATCCAAACAGCCATGGCTGTGGTTGTGGCTTTGCACAGGATGGGTCATGAGGTGTGGTGTGGTCCAAACAGACTTGGTTGGGAACCAGACCTGTTCCTGTTCCTTAGAATTTAGAGACATATGCACACTTGGAGGTGCCATTGATTCTGAAGAAGTCTCTCCAACGCATCAAGTGCAAGCACATCAGGCTCAGAGACCGTCAAGCTGAACTGTCCCATGTATATGTTCCAGTGCTGCTTTTCTTTACCTCTAGAGGTAGTGATGGATAGCTCAGGGTACAGGATAAATCCTCCACAAATTGCTTACTTTCACATGTGGTGCCTGACAGTGGGCACCATGAGTGAAAGTATGGAAACCAAATTACCTAGTGTCAGATTGGGTTTCTGAGGGCTGAATGCCATTGATTGGCCTTTGCCAGTTGTTTACCAAATTGCAGGGGTGAACCCAGATAACCGCCCAGGTTCTACAACATGAAGAAGAGTTCCTCTGATGCGATCCGGCGTGCGCCAAGTGCAATCTCATGGGTATTTAGCTTGGTCAACCTGTCAGCGTGGGGCCATTCTGATTCCCAGTCCCTCATCAAGGCATGGAAGCTTGGTGGAACAAAAGCAAGACCTCAAAGCTTTTAGGCCTTTCGTGGTGAATGAAAACAAAACTAAAAGGCAAGTTTCTTCCCACTAAGAAGCAACAGGGGTCCTGAAAGAAACCTTCCAGGAACGATGATGCTGCAAAACATGACCGCATTGCTGGCTACAAGTACCAGGCTGTTAAGACCATCCTAGAGCTCCCTGAAGCTGCTAGGAACATAATCCTTGGCACAGTCAGCCTGTATGGTTGGGAGGGTGGCTCATTCCTTATTACAGCAAGAGTTTCTGTTTTGGTGGCTGGTACACCCTACCACACGATGATGCTTCTGTCCACTATATTTGACATTCAGGTTGCCCCTACACGGATGATGCACTGGGATCGAAAAAGCTTCTGGTTGGCTACAACTCCAAATCTGGCAAGCTCTCCAGAACATCCCCCTGGACAACAAGATTGAAGAACACCAAGGAGTCTGTGGTTCTTCTCTTCAGGATGGTCCACAATCAGTACACCAACATGCCACCCAATCACAGGAAAAAGTTGACCAAGAGCCAGCTAGAAGAGAAGGCTGAGATTACTGCCCTTGCCTGTCACTAGTCTGAATGTTGTTTCTTTTCTTGTGCACATATGACCTTAATAACCCAGCATCTAGGAACATAACTACAACTAGTGTATTTGTGTGTTTCTTTTTGCAAGTTGAGGTTCTATTGTGGATGAGCTCACGTCCCAGGTTCCCAATGTTGCCCCGGTCCTTGAGGAGAAGCTTCTTGGTGCCAATACTGAGTTTTTGATCTCAACATGGAAATGTCCAAGTTCCATGGGACACCAAAAACAAGTGGGGTACATTGGGTACATAGCACCCTTTGTGTGGTTGGTGTTTAATTTGGGTCATGTTTTGACCAACATCAACTTGATCCACCAAGGTTCTTGGAGCGGCTCCGGCGTGGAGACCCCGGTCTTGAGATGGAGCTCGGATCGGCCTGCTCTGCAAAAGATGACAAGTGGGGGCCACGCGACAACGGGTGTGATGTGGCTTCTATTTCAACCACTTATTTCAATGCTTTCCCCAGTGAAATCCTTTTGTACCTGTCCACCATAGGTTAGGTGAAAAGAAAACTAAGTTGGGGAAGGGTGTGGTTCTTTAGTCTTGTGAGTGTGGCCCACAGGTATTCTGGAGATATTGAATGGGCTGACTGCTGGGAAAGGTGAGGCGATCACTGGTTCAAGTGAGGCTGCTCTCTTCAAGTCTGCCACTGACCTCGATGCAGCTAGCTACATGCTGGCCTTAGAGGAAATTGCATATGATGAGCGATGCCTCCAGGTGTACTTGGGTAAAATGAGCAACCATGAGGTCCGCATCACCCAGTTGAAGGAGCAATGGAACCGGAAGAGGCAAGAAGGAGCCAAGGAGGCTGTCCACAAGTGGGTGGACCAACATGCACCTTGGATACTATTATTCATATGACCTATTCCACCAAACTGCAGCCCCAGCAGCACACCAATCACCCAAAAAGAAGGGAACATCTCAACAGAGTAGGTTTGGAGAGGGTACTGTGTATCTTTTGTCCCTCTGGTTATTTTTGTCGTTGTTGTTGTTGTTGTTGTTGTTGTTGTTGTTGTGGCTTGCCTTGTTGCTGAAGTGTTTGTTTGCCTACCATCTTGTGTGTGTGCACTACTGCTGCACTTTTGTTGTCCAAGGTGGATGCAAACACATGGCCTTCCAAGTTTGATGCTGGGACAGCTTTGAGCATGATGCGGAGCATTGAGGAGGCTGCATCCAGGTGGCGAGATTCAATGAAGTGCCGGAACATTGTTCCTGGATATGTGCTTGTAAGTGCAACCTTTTCTTGTTTCTGCTGTTTTGTTTTGTGTGGGTGCCAAATCCTTACAGCACTTGTGAACATATTCTGAGGCCCTGCTCTTCATTTGCAACTATGCATCTCCCAGTCTCATCAAGAGTGACATCACTGCTGCCACCTTCAGCATGGTTGGCCACATGCTTGGCTCAGAGTTTGGTCCACAAGCATGTGGGCTGCTGCTATGCCCGGTCTACTCATACCAGAAACATCATTTGTTTCTTGAAGAGCATGCTTTGCTCAAGATGCTGAGCAACAATTCGTGTTCTGTGGATACCCTCTTCCAGCTCAATTTTGACATCAAGTCCAAGACAGAGACCTCCCCACAGCCTAGATGCACTTTTCTTGTCTAGTTTTTGCTTTTTCAACATCCTCCCAGAAATCAGTCCTTTTCTCCTGGCCAATCAGGACCAAAGAGATCAGCGTCCTATGGCATACACTGGCCGGTTTCTTGCTCCAGCCAATGCAGGAAGCGATTGGGCTTGGCGTGAGTCTACCCTCTTTAAGCTTCGTCGCAACACGAATGAGGCTTTGCAGCTGGCAAGCAAGCAAATGGTGATTCAGGAAGACATGAACCCGAAGGCCCTTCCTAGCACAGATGCTGGAACTTTACATGGCGCCCAAAAGTATGCCCAGATTGGCTCTGATGCAGCCCGGAAGCTGTTGTCATCTGCGCTGGAACCTCTTCTGGGCCATAAACCTTTCTTGTTGGCAACACTTTGCTGAGGTTTGGGGTTCTAGACTCTAGCCCTGTTGAGGTTTCCAAAACCAGTTGCCAGTCTTGTCCAGCAAGCAGTCATTGCTAAGGAGGGTGTGAACTTTGGGAATCACACATCCCTTCTTGTGGTGGACACAACGCCGCTGGTTGGAAACTTCTTTGAGGCCTACCTGGAGGTGTCCAAAGATACCAACGTGCCCATGAAGTATGTTCCACTTTTTGCAGATGATGGGCATCAGGAATGGTTTTCTGGCTATTTTCACCAAGAGCTGACCAAGCGCTTCCTGCAGGACTCTTTGAAAATCCCTGGTTCTTCCAGGCATGTTGGTCTTGGAAGGGCGTGTTTGGGAAAGGAGTATTCCAAAGAATTAGGTGTCACATGGTTGAGATATTTTGCAAGACTCCCTTCTGAACCCCCTCTGGTGTTTCAATTCAAAGAAATAAGCATCCCATGGCTGAGACCTTTTGCCAGGCTTCCCTCTCAACCCCCTGCGGAGCACATGGAATCCAAGCCGGAGCCTCCTGCCTTGAAGCGGTGCTTGTGGGGCAAGGCCAGTGGTTCATTGCTCCAGTTGTTGCTGCTTTGCCAAGTCTCCCATCAGTTGCTGTCATTTGTTGAGAGTGTTGAACAACTTAGGCAGGTGAAGATTGAGATCATTTGTTGTGAGTGTTGAACAACTTGGGCAGGTGAAGAATGAGATCCGCACCATTGAGCTCCCTGAGGATGAGGTCAAGAAGTGGTGGAGCAAAGATGAATGGAAGTGCTTTGTCCAAGAGTTCCAGGAGCGGCACCCTCCAGTGAAGCAGCTTGAGAAAGAGGCCCCCAAGGCTTCTGATTCAGTTTCTGCAGCTGTGCCTGTCAAGCGCAAATTGGAGGTGGACATCTCCAAGCACTTGCGGGATGGAGGGAGTGCACCTGGCGGAGTCAAGGTGGCACAGGTGCAGATCATCAATGCCAGGTTTCCAGCTGATGTGAAGAGCCAGGACCTTCCAACTCTTGTGGTTTCTGATGGCGGGCCATATGTGGAGAATGCCACTGAGCACCCGGTGACCTGTCTCACCTTTCTTTGTATTGATTGGTGTTCCAACCTGTGTTGCAACTTAGTCTTGTTTGTGTGATGGATGTCCCAATTGACATGCAAAAACAACATATATGATTTGTACAAGATAACCACCAAACATTGTTTGAGGTGACCTTTCCTGCTGGTTCCATCCTGGCTGGGTGGGGCAAGGGCAAGTTCCGTGATGGCAGCGAACAGAAGTGCAAAGACAATGAACTTGAGTTTACCTGTGGTGCTGAGACATATGGCATGATGGACAACAAACTGAACCTCCTCACCGACTTGCTGACTGCAGAGCAGAAGGTAAAGTCGCAACACCCGAAGCTTTGCTATCACACGATCAAGCAGGATCCATCTGGTGGATGGGAATTTCTACAGGACACATGCATATATATACATATATTTATATGTGTTACATTAATATGTATTTTTTTAGTCCAAATGAGGGAAGGTGTGAGTTTTAAACACCTCACAACAAAAGGTAACACACATATTGTGATGTTGAAAAGCATGATAGTTAATTGCCTTTTCTTGGTATGTGTGATACCTTTTGTTGAGGCTTTTCCTACTAGGCCCAGGTGTGTTCAAAGCTTTGGTGGCCATCCTTGCAGGACCATACAGTAATCTTCCAACCGTTGCCTGAAGACAAGGAAACGCGGGTGGCCCAAGCACAGGTGGCAAAACAAGCCCTTGTGAATGCTTGGAAAAGCAGTTGCACATGCATTGCGTGGCACTTGCGGCCAAGCCAGAAAGGCCTACAACCGATTAGGCCTGTAGTGGTGTGGACTCAGGATGTCACCCTTGAACCAGGGAAGATCCTAGTCCTTGAGGGCTGAAGTCTTTTTGGATTGGACCAGCTTTGGAGAAAAATTGCCAGTCCAAGACCTTGACTTGAGGGCTGAAGTTTTTTGGAGCCATCAGCAAAACCCACAACAAACCCAACCTCAACTGGTGCCCCAACAACTTGTCTGCCCAGGTCCTGCCTTCCCAAGCACTCCAGGGCAGGAGGTTCAAGCGCTCCCAGGACACAGATCCAGCAGCATGTTGTCCTTAGATGGGTGTGTATGATTTAGCTAATCGATGTGGGGTGAAGGCCCACAACCCCACAACCCACCATATAGTTGCTCCCCCTATTGGTTTTGGTACTGTATGGGTTTTGTCTTGAGATGTGGGTGTGGTCTTCATGGTGGCTGGGGTTAGGGGCTGTAAGCATGCTGTTGGTAGCGGCTTGGCCAAGCAGCCAACTCACCAAGATTCCTGTCCTACAAGAGTGTTGCACGAGAGTGTCATGCAAGAGTGTCACACAAGAGTGTCCTGCAAGAGTGTCACACAAGAGTGTCACACAAGAGCATCCCACAAGAGATCCTCATGAGAGTGTCTACAAGAATGTCCCACAAGAGTGTCACACAAGAGTGTCCCTCCAGAGAGCCCCACAAGAGTGCCACTAAGAGTGTCACACAAGAGCATCCCAGAAGAGAGTCCCACAAAAGTGTCCCACCAGAGTGTCACACAAGAGTGTCCTACAAGAGTCACAAGAGTGTCCCACCAGAGTGTCCCACAAGAGTGTCCTGCAAGCGTGTCACACAAGAGTGTCACACAAGAGTGTTGTAGAAGAGAGCCCCACAAGAGTGTCACACAAGAGTGTTCTACAGGAGTGTCACACAAGACTGTTACACAAGAGTGTCCCACAAGAGTGTCACACAAGAGTGGCCCACAAGAGTGTCACACAAGCGTGTCCTACAAGAGTGTCACACAAGAGTGACCCGCGAGAGTGTCCCACCAGAGTGTCACACAAGAGTGTCCCCCAACAGTGTTCCACAACAGTGTCACACAAGAGTGTCACACAAGAGTGTCCTACAGAGCGTGACACAGGAGTGTCCCACAAGAGTGTCATGCAAGAGTATCATACAAGAGTGTCACACAAGAGTGTCCCACAAGAGTATCACACAAGAGTGTCCTACAAGAGTCTGACACAAGAGTGTCCCACAAGAGTGCCCCACAAGAGTGTCCTATGAGAGTGTCACACAAGTGCCCTGCAAGAGTCTCTTCTTGCAAGAATAATAGAGATGGCGCCAAGACCTCCACGATCTCAATCCTTGCTCACCTTTTCTCCACACTCAGTAGACAATGGCCAGCTCCACATTCTCCATTCAGCGTTCACTTGCTCTCCCACCGCATTCTCATCAGGCCAATGAATGTTGGCCTCTGGCCCAAGGTGTCTTGGGTTGACAAGTTTCCCAGAGCCGCTCGGCCCATTGATGGCCTCAATGTGCCACTGTCCTGGCAAGCACTTCTGCTTGTTCAAGTGCACTGGCCTGTTCACCATTGGACTGTGAATGATATAGCTGACACCATGCTGGGATTGGACTCTGCCCAGCAGAAGGCAGCTTGTCATTGTCCAGGGTCCCTGTGTCCAAAGCCACCGTTGAAGGCAAGTTGAAGTTGTTGGTGCTCCACCAGATTAGGGAGATATGAAGCTTCCCATCACTGCTGCCAGTGGCTTTCAAGCAGTCCCCACATCAGAAAGGTCGCGTGACCTTGAAATACACTGACTTGGGTGCCAGTGGTGTTGTAGGCATTGACAACTGACAACTGTGTATGCTCATTGAAAGCATGACTAGGTGTCATGTTCATGCCGGTGGGGTTCCTTTTATCTCAGCCAGAAGTCAAGTATGTGGAGATGGTCAGAGATCCTAACCCTTTGTTCTCCCACCACCCACACACTTCCATTCCATTGCCCATCCACTCTGCAACCCAGTTGCGCAGGAACTGCTGCTGCCAGCAGCTACCGCCAGCTGCTGGGGGTGGAAGGGGTAGGGACACAAACAAGACCTTTCAAAGCACAAACCTAAATCAAACAAATCTACACCCAGATCAAAACAAAAACTTTATGTATAAGAAACCCTTCTCTTGGTTTTGCTTAGTAAGGGTGCTCTATATTTGTCCTATTGGGTGAGACATCCGGACGGCTGATTCCTCGTGACCGAGAAAAGGACGTGACCTGACCGATCGGCGAACGACCGAAGGCCAGGTCAACCATGGGGATACCTGGCATTCACCTACTCTTTTGGCGCAGCTTATGACCCAGACACTCCATGCATGGGACTGGTATATGTCCCGATCAGGCCAGGGGTGGTGCCTTTCCGGGGTCTGTCTGGGGCGGCAGTCCGGACTGGCAGTCCCATGGAGTGTCTGGGTAATCTACTTGTGATGGCCTCCACCTACTAGCGTCCGGACGCTACTATAGTAGCTTCGAATGTTACGTTCGTAGCTTCTGGCCTCCAAGCTACTATCATCCACATTTGGCTTCCAAAGTCCGAAAAGCGAACATTACGATGCGACTCACCTCACGAAGCAATGAACGAAGATCGTCCGCGAAGATCATCCGCACCCATCTTCGACGGATCGCGCGCCCGGGCGCGCGCGATGCAGCAAGAGCTGCTCGGTCGTCAGGGTCCCTGAGTGCACGGGTCCCTGATGAAAATTTGAAACGAGGGATGATGCAGCGTGGTTGATTCGGATTCAGTTGGATTCAGTCACTCGCTGAGAAGCATCCAAGTTGCATCACCCCTCCGGCCCTTGTGGCAAATACATCTAAAATGTCTTGGCGCGCTGAAAGAAAAGGGACCAAGGGACCAAAAGGCAAGAAGCCTTCTTCGTTGAGGATGAACAAATCCTTATGAGGGACTTGGGTGTGGCTTCCGTATCCGGTAGAAACGAAGCGAGCCATGACCAAAAAGACCGAAGTGTAGTCCCTCGGAAACGAAGAACCATTGTTTCAATGGCCTTTTCATCCCCTAAGAATCCTTGGGCTCTCCATGCCAGGGGTCGGACCCTCAATGGCAGGGGTCTGGGCCCTCAAAACCCTATGTGTTGGAGGGCCCGGATTCTTAGGGTCCCAAAAGAACCATTGTTTGACGAATTGGGTGGTCTTTTCACCGGAACGGTCGTGACATCCGGTCGTGACACGGTGGAAAAGGAAGTCTCCATCAGTGCCAGTGGTGTCGCGGGGGCTTGGGGTGGGCTTTGGGCTTGGGGTCGGTCGAGCCGAAGTGGGAATGAACCTGCCAAACTCAACTCCCAAGAGAGGGTTTTTTTGTGACCTGAACTAGGACCCTAGTGGGGTACCCAACTGGGATAGTCTAGTTCGTCTAGTTCGGGTTCTTCAGCCTCTGTTGGTTCTTTCTTTCACTCAACGACGTGTTCTGCGAACGACCCTCGGCTTTGCGCGTGGTGACCGTGTGACGGATGGCACCGACCGTCGTCAGATACGTCGTCGTGGGTTGATCGATGTGGATGTTTGGAGCCCAGAGGCTCATGGACCCTCATATGGAGGGGTCGGACCCTCATATGGAGGGGTCAAGGGTCTCAAATCCCTATAGGTTTGAGTGACCAAGGGCTGTTTGGAGCGTTTGGGTAGGACCTGGTCCTTCAGTGTGGCATGCTCCTTGCCAAACCACGCTCCCCCACTCGTCAGACCATCTCCGACATTGGATCGTCCAGTCAGACTGCTCAGGGAAATGCTCAATCCAAGGGTATTTTTGGGGCGGCGTCATCCTCCGCCGATCGATGCGCTTCCCGAAGTTGGCAAGGACAACTCCTTTTTCGGATGAAAAAGGACCGTTTGTGGCGTAGGCGTAGGCGTATTGGCACCGAAGACCCACCCAAACGGCGCCAAAACGGGGTGTCCGTTTGGACCAAGAACGGTCCCCTTGGTCCCGTCGAATTCGCCCCAAGAGGCGGTGAACCGCAGGTTTGCGGCTGCGGTCTTCGGTGCGTCGGGTGGGGCCCGTCGAGTAGCAAACAAGTGGAGAGCGTAGAGCAAGAAAAGACCACAGTTAGAGTTAGTGGTGAAGACATCGAAAAGTCCATGTTTTTGGATGATCATTTGGTACCAGCACCTCCAACAGGTCACCAATTGAAACCTGTATTCGGGCCCTTCCCAACCCTCCATTTCGGAGACCTGTTGGGTTCGGTGCTGAGAATCATAAGACCTGTTTGAAGAGACGGGCAGAATGGAGTGTCTGGGGCCCACACACTCCATGGGACTGCCAGTCCGGACTGCCGCCCCAGACAGACCCCTCTGGCACCACCCCAACTGATCAGTCAATATACCAGTCCCATATGGAGTGTGTGGGGGGGGGTACCTGGTGATGCTTCGTACCGTTTGATCATCCGAATCGGCCAACTTACCACGGTTCCACGGCACGGCTACGTCCCCCAGCTGCGCCCAGCTGGGCGGTGAAAATCGGCTCCAGCACAGCTGACCTGAGTGGCGCGGTTTTTTCGGATGCGAACCTGGGTCAAAAGATGAACCCCAACACTGTGGAGCGAACAACCTTCCAGGTATTTCTCAGGTATCCTGGTTTTGACCCAGAGCCATATCCCAGACACTCCATGGGACTGCCATAGGACTGCCAATCAAAACAGACCCCCCTGGCACCACCCCTGGCCTGATTGGCAGTCCGTCCTGGCAATCCCATTCGTCGCGTCTGGGTATTGTGAAACATGGTTGGTATCCCCAAAATCGACTGCCTTCCCCATCCAGAAGGACCCCACAGACCACAGACTGCCATGACGAACTGCTACCGACCGAGTCACCGATGTCACAGTCTCCAGGTTTGTTTCAACGCCACGGCCAGAGGGAAAGGCGGTGGGACGCTACCTAAGGGTCATGTTTTTAACAGAAGGTCATGCCATCCACGTCAGGTCGACACACGTGCACGCGCAAAGTGGGGCAAACTGTTCGTCGATCGGGTTCGAGGAACCATCCGCTGGTCCAGTTCCTTTCGCCAATTCCGATCGCCTTCCGATCGCGCATGGCTTCGCCGATCGA